GGCTGCCGTAGCCCTGCTGAGTGTTGCCGGTTTTCTTCTCCAGCTTGCGAACACAGAGGAGTACATTGACGGCGCGTTGTCTGGACACCTGGGGGAAGTTTTGATCAGGTAACGAGGGTACCCGTGGCGGGGGCAGGGCTTCCCTCGCTCTGCTTACCGCTCGCGTTGGCGCTCGGTAACGGTGGGTGCTGTCTCTCTGCTCTAAGATGCTGAGCGTTAATGTATTAACTCTCACATGAAGGCGATGAGATCCCTGCTGAGGGGAAAAAAAACAAATTTTGAAATATTTGCAAACTGGTATTTGCAATTGCTATTTCAGGTAATTGAAGGCCTTAGTTTTCCAGATTATTGTAGATGCGTTGATCTCTTGGCTCATTGGTAGAGTGTATTGGTGTATTGCTACTGAAAACATCTTGCATGCTTGGGAGCAAAAATATTTTGTACAACATTGTCAACCAGTTACTGCTTCTGTAAACTTTGTGGCTTTGCAGTTGTTACGAACTTTGTGGAAAGCTGTACAAGGTCAACAGTGGCAATTTGTTCTGTGGAATTTGGCTGTTGCCAGGCTACAGTCAAGCAGGAGAATGCTTAAAGTAGTGTATATAGGGGGTGGAAAATTAAAACACTTGCAGTTAAGGGAACTGTTTGTTTCTGTTTACAGGTGCAATAATGTTTTGTACATCAGAGGTGTGGAAGAAGAAGAGGAAGATGGAGAAATGAGAGAATAGGTGTTTTGTATATCTGGAAATAAACTTTTTTTTTCCTTGTTTTTCGTAATTTCATAGTAAAGTGTTTACTTTTTTCCCATTCTATTTTAATATGGAGGAAGTTTACCCTTAAAATGGTCTCTAATCTTTTATTGGTATCTGAAAAATCAATACTGGAGGAATAGGCAATTGTTTCAATTTAAGACTGAAAATCTTAAGTAAGTATTTAAAAAATAAATAAAATCCACAACTGTTAAGTAATACCAGTGCCAACAAATGCCATTACTGTCAAGGGAAATACCTGAATTTAAGTGCTTCTCAGAATGAATTAGATCCAGAAAGCTGCGTGCTGTAACAGAAAATAGATAGTTCATTCGTGTGTCTCAGCTCAGTTTAGCGTCAGTGTCAGTGCTCTGCTGTCAGGCAGCCGTGCTGCAGCGTGAGTAGTCTGCCAGCACGGGCTAGCGTGTGATAGAAAGGCAAAGAATGTCTTGTGGTGTGTATGTGACTTTCTCTTCTGCTGCTGTCGTTCTAAGCTGTGTCGCTGAGTGGATTGAAGGAGCTGCAGGAACAGCCTTTTCTCTAGTGATGGTAATGTGGGCTGTAGAATAAGCACAGAAATCTTAAAAAAAAGTATCCTGAAGTTCTTGCTGTAGCATATTGATGATTTGGTAACAATTCCTTCAGCTCTGAAGTGGTTGATTAAGAGGACGCAGCTGTAACGCTTTGCAGCCTTATTTCAGTAGAAATTAAGTTTCACCTCTAAGTGAAAAACTGTAAGTCGTCTTCAGTATTTGCAGGAACCTCATTCTTAGCCGCCTTCTCAGCTTTAACAGCTGGACACTGAACAAAATACAAGTTACCTTCCCATCTGAGACATAGGAAAACACGGCAGTCTGTATATTTTATGGTATGTATGTAGTTGCTGTTTAAATACACTCAGTCTTTAAACCTGTTTGTAAAATACTTGGAAATTGTTGCGAAGACTTTGCTGCAGGTGAGATGTGGGGGTGTGTTATACCTGTGTCTCTAAGAAATACCCTGCTGCTTGGGTCATGAAGCTTGAAGTGTGGCTGTACAATTGTTATTAAGGAAGGACAGGCGTGTACCGACTTTGTAGCTAATACCCACACAAACAAAAGCCTCCTGGCAGCTACAAGGGTTCATAGACTTCAGTGGCGTCAGCAGAGTCAAGACAACACGCTGCAAGGTGGGAGCGTGCTTTCCCAGTCCCTGTCCTAAAAAGTCTCTTTGTTACTGGGGGTCCAGAACGTTAAAGGTTTGGGAGGAACACAGTAACCCTGTTTTCAAACGTTTGCTGTGCAGCGTTGAGGTCAGCTGCATGTCCCTTACCTACCAGCATCTCGTAGGAAAAGGCCGTTGCTCTGCCGGTCCCAGCCTCCCTGTTTGAGGCTGCGGCGGAGCGGAGAGTCGCTGCCTGTGAGATGTGCCCTGGGGAGCTGTTCTGCACACTGGAACCCAGACAGCCGGCGGCACGCTTCACGGACGGGAGTTGCAACCATTGGGTTGTTTGTTAACACAAATCACAACCATTTTGTTACTCTGACCCTTCTCTCGTCAGCGATCGCTGACTGTAGCGCTGCTGTCAAATAGGGAAATATTATCCCTGTTTTACACGCAGCGAAAACAATTCCTCCTGATCCTGCTGTGATCTCAGTCATGGAGTTTCACAAAAGGTAAAAACTCCTCTGGTCTTCTGCTGTGGTGCTGGCCTGCCTTGGACATGGCTGTAGGGTGGAAAAGGGAGAGGAGGGGGCCCTTTTCTGCGCTTTGCAGACTGCAGCCCCTTCCCTGACAGGGTTCGTACAGGCACGTTGCGCTGACGCCCAAGATGATATGGAAAGAAGGTACTCCGGAAGCCTTCAGCATGCCACCAGTTGTGTCGTTAGCTTACTTGGTTTGCGTAAGGGGAGGAGCTACGTGATGGCAACCTAATTCCGGAATAAAACCAGCATTATGGCCAGCTTCCCATCTTGGGTTTGAGCACCCCCACACCCTCGAAGCAGAGGGTGTTGGGGGTCCTGCCCCCGGCGTCCTGGGGGCACCGTGGGGAGCTCGGCGCCAGCCCCATCTCCTCTTTGCCACCAGCGGCAGTGCGATGCAAAAGCTTCTGAAGTACGGTGGCAACACGAAGGACATCTCTGAACTCAATCTCCTACCTCAACATGTTCACCAATGAGTTCATCTTTCAGGTTAAACGCTGTTGCTTCTCACCATCGGTGGTTTGAGCTATTTAAAGGGAAAGTCTCCGAGAAGTCAGTCATGAGTGCCGTCCCACAGAGGCTCAGCTGGTGCTGGCTATTTACCAGTCAGTGACCCCACAGAAGTCACTGCACGCAGGTCTCGGTTCTGCTGCCTGGCCACCAAGCACGGTAGGACCCTGCAAGTGCTCTGGCTTTCATTCATTCGGTTTAGTGCTAAAATTCAAGGTTTCCTTAGTAGCAAACTGTAGTAGCTGTAGTGTACAGATAGGAAGAAAAATAATCATTTGTCACAAAGTTTAGCAGTCCATTTAAAGGTGGATATGGTTCCAAATGTTTTTTTCGCTATTCCCTGAAGGATAAACTGGAAAGAGAAATCTGTGTGGACTACTGTGTTTCTAAAAGGTCCAGTAAAATCAGTAGCTTTCCATGGAGGGACAGCATTGTAAACAAAGACTGTGGTCTTAAAACACATATTTAGATGAAAAAAGTCAAAATTCTATGAAAATCTAGGCTATGATGAGTAATATGGAAAGAAAGAGAAGGCAAGTGGACTTAGATTGTGCAAAAGCAAGAGCCCAGTCGGAACTAAGAAAACATACATTCTTCTCTTGTGATGTGTCTCCCTCTTTCAATGACTGAGATCGCCTGCTTTGTGGAGTCTTTGAGTTTTCCTTCTCAATGAAGTGTGCTCCTTTCATGTAGCTTCAATTTCTTTTCAGATTTCTTTGTTATGCATCTACAGGTTTTTTTGGTAGGCACATTCATTAGACTTCAAACTCAGAAAGATGCTTTTATTTTTGCGTAGCACCAGGCATCAGATTCAGGGACTAAATAATACCTTGGCGTATAACTTCGTCGCTAACCTTGGTTCTTACGCCCACGCACTGCAAAGACGGGTGTGCGTGTTTATCTTTGCTGCTGTAGCGGGCACCACTCAGTTCAATGGGAGAACCCAGGCAGGTAAAGCGAGACAAAGACGTGTCCCGATTCAGATTTTGGTCTGAAATGGTGTGAAAAGAATTGCTGTACAGATGAAGGTCCGGTACCCAGAGTACATCAGCATAACTGGAGCTGGTCCTTAGTTGGTACAGAGTAAGCCCCATGAATACAAACGGATTTTTCCTTTCTTCTGGAGCAAGTCCGAAAGGTGGAAGAATGGCAAACACCCACTTATATTACGTGTGTATTAAAGAGACAAATAAAAGGGGTCATGATTTTACTTTTGAAATACAAGGTACATAAAGCATTGTAAAATCAAATGCTTTCATGTGTTTAAGTTTGTAGGATAAAAGAAATTGGAGACAAAGTAGTAGGACACTTAAATCAGCAAAAGATTATGCCCTGCAAAACTACCTGCTAAATATGGGAAGTGCTGTAGCCAAAAAGAGCCTAGAATGACTTACAGCAAGACACAAGACATACAGCAATATTACAAAAATATTTGTAAACCTGAAGTAAAACTCAGTCTGGTGCGAGAGGACCCAAGAGTACCTGACAAATTTGCAATTTAGTCTGGGTCAGTTCCACATTTCAAAGTCAGTTTCATCCATGTGATCCAATCTCTGTGTAAGATCCGGAGGGTCCAGTAACTTCTGCTGCTTTTGTAAACAGGGAAATAGCATTCAGTAAATTCCACGAGCAATTAACTTTTCTTAAGGCAATGTCTCCTTTCAGGACATTTCATCATGCTATGTCTATTGTTGTAAAGGATGACTTAGGAGATGAAAACAACTAACATACAAATTTAAGGAAAATTTAGCCAATATTTAGAATAAGGCTCCTATCTAACCCTGGGTCTTCTGTATTTAATTACATGTTGTTTACAAGAATAAAGATTCTAAAGTAACTCTGACAGTGTATTTGAAAAGATGTTCCTTGAAGAACAAGCGTATCGTACACTCACACAGAGACACCAGACAGAAGAGATGAAATCTCCCAAGTCAATTACCTAATACTCAATTGACTTTTTTACTTATCTCTAAATTTTATTTTTTTTTCCTCTCTGTTCTTTCTGCTACCTTGCTTTGTTTAATTTTTTTGTGAAATGAGTAATTTTGCAACCCAAACTGGCAAACTCAAGGAACTTTAAATACTCAATGATATTAACACAAGTAAAATGAGTGTAGGATATTATCCTCAAGCTGTTCCAGGAACGCACACCTTTTCAGCAGGCAACGACCCACCAGCTCTGTAAAAATCTGGCTTTCCATCTTTTACTGTGAAAGGAGTTCTCTTCTTTTGATTGCTTTTATCAAGGGCTACAAAATTTTGAAGAAAAATAAATTGATATCAGACGCTATTGAAGATAACGCATGTTAAAATTCTTTCCGAAATGCACTTTCACTGGAACATTAAGGCTGTGGTTTAAAGGCTTTAAGTTTAAGGAATTTAGGCAGGGTTCTTCTGGCACCCTACCGTCCTCTGTTTACATCCAACAAATTCTGACATTAACATTTTTAAAATTCAGCCCAACCGTTAGAATCTGTACTTTTGTACCAAACTCAAGAATTTCCTGAGGATGCACCCAAGACACTGCTCCTGCATTTACCCTCCTGGGCAGTACTTTTAAGAGTATATCAGGCACAATCTGTCAGAAGCCACTGACTTTGCAGTGGATTGAGATTTTTCTTCACAGGCCAGTCTATCACAGAGAAAAATCTTCAACAGAAACGAACCAGGGCATAAACAAATACACAAGCACAGCTGTAAGTTTTCTGCAAGCAGAGCGTAAGTCTGAGATCGAAATACACTCCTATCTTACCAGGCATAAAATCTTTACCTAAGGATCTAAATTAGGGTCTCCCCCTGGCTCTTGGAAAAGCCTGGTGCACACACAGAACAACACACTTCTTGCGGGCGTAAAGCTTTACACAGAACTGATCTTTCCTTTTTTTCCCCCCTTTTACCAAAGCTTAGGTGATGAGTGTCTGGAGTCTGAGATTGGATCACCAGGAACAGAGCTGCAGATGTCACCTTCGCTCTTTGAATTTCTCTCTGGAACTGCTGAAAGAGAGAAAAAACAAAAAAAAAGTGTAGCTGGAAGAAATGTAAACGTAAGAAGCATTCAGGCCAGTTTCTGCCTGACTTCCAGCCCTTGCTCGCAGAGGCACCAGACAGCCAGGCGTGCGACTGAACAGGGGGGTGTGCAAAGAACAGGCAGGAGTTTAATGCCTGCTGGTGGTCCTCCCAAGGGCAGAAAGAGCAGCTCACTGAACATGCACCCTAAAATATTTGTGAATATGTGGAAGATGATTTTGCAGCACTCACACTGCCATGGGACAGCGCCACAGTGGGTCTGTTCGTTCGGGACGTCTCTGCCTGCCTGCCCACCCCACCCCAAGCAGGCAGAGGGGTGAGCAG